CCTTGGAAAACAAAACAACACAAAACCTGAAGGGCAACCCGTGTATCACAGGACGTTATCACAGGATAGTGTATGGAAGGCTCCTTCACCTACTTCCACACCTGCTTCTTGAACCTGAGTGAAGATCGCTCCTGAAGACCCCGGAGCTCTAGGCCGGCTGATAACGTCACAGGTGGAGATGGACAGATGCTAACCCTGAGAGCCGTCACTCATCCTGCCTAGCTCAGCTCGGCCATCACTTCCTCCGAGCAGCCTTGTCTGGTCTTTGTTGCTCTCATCTCTGGTTGTAATTTTTTTTTTTGGTTTGTCGTTTTCTAAAAAAATATATTTTTATTTTTATTTTTTTTGAAATATGGTTGATTTACATAGCCACTGTTTTATTTATTTATTTATTTGCTGCACCATTTGGCATGCAGGATCTTAGTTCCCCAACCAGGGATCAAACCCATGCCCCCTGCATTGGGAGCATGGAGTCTTAACCCCTGGACCACCAGGGAAGTCCCCTGGTTTGTCGTTCTAAAAGTTATATTTAATTGTGCCAAAATACACATAACATAAAATTTACCATCTGAACCAGTTTTAAGTGCACGGTTCAGTAGTGTTAGTACATTCACATTGTTGTGCAACCGTCACCCCCATCCATCTCCAGAACTCTTTTCATCTCGCATCTTTCATTCAAATAGCAAATCTCCACTCCCCTGCCCCTCACCCCCTGGCAGCCACCATTTTACTTTGTCTCTATGTGTGTGACAGCTCTAGGTACCTTATATAAGTAGAATCATATAGTATTTGTCGTTTTAGGACTAGCTTATTTCACTTAGTAGAATGTCCTCAGAATTCATCCATGTTGCAGCATGTGTCAGAATTTCCTTCCTTTTTGAGGTTGAATAATATTACATTGTATGGAGAGACCACGTTTTGTTTTTGCATTCCTCTGTTGATGGACACTTGGATTGCTTCCACCTTTTGGTCATTGTGAATAATGCTGCTATGAACACAGGTGTACAAATATCTTTTTGAGACCCCCGCTTTCAGTCCGTGTGACTAAATACCCAGAAGTGCAATTGCTGGATCATCTGATAATTCGCTTATTAGTATTTTGAGGAACAGCCATATTGTTTTCCATAGTGGCTCTCTGATGTAGTTTTACACTGATTTGTGTGATTATTTGATTGCCTGTCTTCCTGCTTTGAGAGCAGGCATCCTGTTTATCTTTGCCACCTTGCCTCCTGCAACTCTGTATCCAGAACAGCAAAGCCTGAGACAGAGTAGTCACTGAAATATCTGCTGAATTAATGAATGAGTCAGCCAATAAGAACACGGCATCATAGAAAGACTTAGTCTCTGCACTTATGAGTTTACAAATTAGTTGGTGAGATGGGAACAGGGAACAAATAAAGGAAGGATATAATTATGTACTAAACTGTGGTTCTTCTTTTAAGTGTAGGAGGAGTTGAGAGAAGGAGAAATTTTCGTGGTTGGGGACAGTCAAGGGAAGATGGGTAGGTTTGGACTAGAAAGGGGGAAGCCAATTTCGAAAGAGGAAACAGTCTTTTCCCCCAGCTTTACTGAGGTACAGTTGAAAAATAAAAATTGTGTATATTTAAGGTGTACAACTGGATTTTTTTTTTTTCTTGGCCGAGCTGCGTGGCTTGTGGGATCATAGTTCCCCGACCAAGGTTTGAACCCGGGCCCTCGGCAGTGAGGGCACGGAGTCCCAACCACTGAACCACCAGGGAATTCCCTGGATGTTTTGAAATACCTCTGCATTTTGAAATAATCACCACAATCAAGCTAATTAATGTATCCATCACTTCATATAGTTATCTTTGTGTGTGTGAGATGAGAACACTTCATATCTACCCTCCAGCTCATGCAGTGGTTTTCTTTCTTATTTCATTTAGCATATGTCCCCCAGGTTCATCCACATTGTCACAAATGGCAGGATTTCCATGTTTTTAAAGGCTGAACAATATTCCATTGTGTATATAGACCATGTTTTCTTTTTTCTTTTTGGCCACACCATGCAGCTTGTGGGATCTTAGTTTCCTAGCCAGGGATTGAACCCTCGCCCTGCGCAGTGAAAGCGCAGAGTCCTAACCACTGGACCACCAGGGAATTCCCAAGACAACATCTTCTTTATCCATTCATCCATTGATGAACACTTTGGTTGTTTCCATGTCTTGGCTATTGTAAACAATACTGCCATGAACATGAGAGTTCAGACATCTTTTTGAGATACTGATTTCATTTCTTTTGAATATATACCCAGAAGTGAGATTGTTGGATCATAAGGCAGTCTTATTTTTAATTTTTGGAGGAACCTCCATACTGTTTTCTGTAATGGCTGTGCTATTTTACATTCCCACCAACAGTGCACAAGGGGAGGAAACAGGCTTCACTTGTTGGAGGGCTGGGCGCAGGGTTAGTTAAGGAATCTGAAGACGTCAGTCCAGGGACAGCAGTAAGAAGTGTGGGTTAGGAGTGGGCCCAGGAGGTCCCAAGCACACTGTTCCAAGCAGCACTGGGGGATACAGGAAGCAGACTCCACTTGAAAATTAAGCAGGTGGGCAGCACGGGGGGATCCAGCCTGTCTCCCTCCAGGATGCACATCCTAGCTGGGGGCCTGGCCAAAGCAAGGCATGGTCCAGTCTAATAGGGTTGGGGGCTTAGGCAGGAATCGGGAATGCGGGTGGGGAGCACAGCATCATGCTAAGAACTCAGATGTAAGATGAAAACCATCACTAGAGGGTGTGAGCTGGGCCTTGCTTAGCCCTGAAACACTACAAACCTACACCATAAGAGGTATTCTTCGTGCTGAGGGGCTGTGACCACAATAGTCTTTTTTTTTTTGCCCCTTCTGGCTCTGTCATGATGGGTTCTGGAGCTGGGGCAGGACTGGGGCTGCAAGGAAGCAGGCTGGTGACTGGAGCAGTATGGAAACAGGGGTAAACAAGGCGTGTGGGGAGGGAAGGCAGGAGAGTGGCCTGTATGGCTGAGAGGCAGGGATCAGTTGTAATGCGGGCCAAGGCTTGATAAAAGCAGATGCTTGGGCGAGGTTGGAAGGGGCGCTAGCAGCCAAGTGGAGGCTTCTCCTATTTCACTCTCTTTCTCAAGTGAGGAGAAAAAAAAACATCATTGCTTTAATATTTGAGCAATACTTTTGACTTTGAAATTAAAAAAAAAAAAAAAAACACAAATACAATAAATACCCCAGTATATTTACAAAGGAATTTTTAAAGATACTGTAGACTTTGTGCAACATGACTTAAGCTTATGAGAGATTACCATGCCCGACTGTGCATCATGATCGATGTTTAGACCGACTGGACCACAAATGGATTCAATGAAAAAGTCCAACTTGGTCACACACACAATGGTAACTAAGCTACAGTGGTTGTAGATGACAGGCTGTCAGTGGTGGAACAATAGAAAAAAATGAATTATCCATGGCTAGTAATTGCTAATAGATTCATAAGGTGTCACACACATTCTTAAAAATGTCTATGAATAAGACGGAGGATGAGAACGGTAGAAAATAAGAATCAAGTTATGTTAAAGGACCTAAGTAGATTATCTTGGAAAAACAAAACTTCGCTCATGTATGGCTTAACCCAGGAGCTTCAGATGCTAAGGTTGGACACTGGGGATGAATCCAAAGGCAGAACGGTCTGTTAGAGAAAGAGTGAGTTAAGACAAAGCCATATTACCAGAAGACTAAAAAGTGTCAATAACCCAGTGAGGTCTGAGCTGGCATTTATGTGGTCCTAATTCTAGCCAGGGACCAGAATCAGGGACATCACAGAACACTGCTATCAGGAGACTGTGATTCAGAGGCAGGAAATCCAATCCTCAAGGTGGAATTCCCAATTGATTCTTGTTTTTATGGCCGCAGGGCATGTGGGATCTTAGTTCCCCAAGGGAAGTCCCCCCACCTGATTTTGCTAAGACTTCACCAGCTCTCCTAGAAATTGCTTCCTAATCCACAGGCATCCTCTATAGCTGTTTCCCACCAAGTCCGGGGGGCAACTCACCAAAGGTCCAGCTAGAAGGCTGAGGGTCCCTAGGCTTCCCTTTATGAGTCCCTGCTACACCCCAAGTCAGTGCTGTTCTCTGGCCCCTGAAAACCCACTGACCGAGACTCAGGGCTCTCTCCACCTAAGCAAAGGTGACCCCTCCAACTGGGATTTCTCCCTGCTGGCTGTGGGCAGTTGAGCCTCTGAGCTCTCTGAGAGTTTACAACTCTTTCCAAATTCCCAGTGGTAGTCCTGAGTTTTCAGATATCCAACCACCCACCTTTGCCACAGACTGAAACTAAATTCCCATGAACTGGGAAGGAAGCACCTTGGGAAATACTGCTCTATGCTCCGTCTCTAACCCAATTCCCACAGTGAGGACGCAGGTCCTTCTTTTAAGATGAACTCCCTTTACCTTCCTTTCAGGGAACTTGGGGCCTACATTTTTCTCTTCCCCTTTGTATAGGAACCTTAATACTTATGGCCAGGGATGTGACCTCTGACTTCTAAGTCCCTTTTCAGTTTCTTTCAAGGGACACTTTGGAGGAGAGACTTTGGACTGGGAATGAAGGTCACACTAGCTCCTGTTGCCAGGCTAGAATTATTTTAAGGGAAAGAGGCCTCTTTTATTTTTTTCTTCCACAGGCTCCTTTCCAAAGCATTGTTTGTAGCTATTGTGTCTAAAAAAAATGGAAATGACTGACTTTAAGTCTGACCCTTGCAAAAGGTCTAATTCTGTCCTGGGAACTGGGGTTACAAGAGAAAACAAGCCCAGGCAAAGAATTTGTAGTCTCACAGGTTCCAAAGACAAGTAAACGCTCTGTCTAACACAGATTTGAACAAGGCATTTTTTTTTCCTTAGAAAGCTTCCAGGGGTCCCCAGGATAAAGTTTCTAGCACAGTGTACAGGGCTTTTCTTTTTCTTTTTCTTTTTTTCTTTTCTTTGTTTTTGTTTTGGCCACACTGTAGCTTGCAGAATCTTAGCTCCCTGACTGGGGATTGAACCCAGACCCCTGGCACTGAAAGCCCGAGTCCTAACCACTGGACCATCAGGGAATTCCCTGTAGGGCTTTTCAAGAACCGATCCACCCAGCTTTCCAAACTCATCTCCTCCATCCACAAGTAAGTTTTCTACAGACCCTCTGACGATTTTGTGTTACTCCCTTTACCTTGTGTGATGATTGATTTTAGGTGTCAGTTTGACTGGGCTAAGGGATGCCTTGGTAGCTGGTAAAACGTTATTTCTGGGTGTGTCTCTGCGGGTGTTTGCAGAGGAGACTAGCATTTGAATCAGCAGACTGAGTAAAGCAAGTGCCCTCCCCAAGGTGGATGGGCAGAACCTAATCCACTGAGGGCCCAAATAGAACATAAAGATGAGGAAAGGCGAATCCGCTCTCCCTGCTTGAGCTGGGATCTCTGTGTTCCCCTGTCCTGATTCTTGGGCTTTTGGACTTGGCCTGAATTACACCCTTGGCTCTTCTGGGTCTCCAGCTTGCAGAGGGCAAACTGTGGGAGTTGTTGGCCTCCATAACCACATGAGCCAATCCCTAGAATAAATTTCCTCTTCCATGTATCTCTACACATCCTACTGGTTCTGTTTCTCTGGAGAACACTGACTAATACACCTTGAGTGCCTTTCTCCTTTTTTTTTTGCAGTATGCGGGCCACTGTTGTGGCCTCTCCCGTTGCGGAGCATAGGCTCCGGACACACAGGCTCAGCGGCCATGGCTCACTGGCCCAGCCGCTCCGCGGCATGTGGGATCTTCCTGGACCGGGGCACGAACCCGTGTCCCCTGCATGGGCAGGTGGACTCTCAACCACTGCGCCACCAGGGAAGCCCCTTTCTCCTTTGACTCCGCCTGTAAGCACCTCATCCTTTACGAGGCAGGGTAAATGTCACTGGCCTGGTGACACTTTCCCAGATCTTCCCACAGGGACTTAGTAACTCCCTCTCTTCTGCTCCCACTTTGTCCATACCTCCTGTGGTGGCCTTGTAATGATTTATTTAGATTGCTTTCCTAATAGCCTATAAGCTCTGCCGGGGTGAACTTTGTTCATATCCGTGTTGCCAGCACAGAGTAGAAACTCAATGTTTGTTGAATAAAATGAATGAATGAATAAAGTCTTGATTGGCAGGGTAATTTCGAGGGCTCAGGTGTAACATGGGTTCATTACTAGCATCGAGGAGGGAATAGGAGAAGCAGAAGATGTATCTTGAACAGTAAGATGGGGGGGTTACTTAATTCTTAGCAATTTTGCCTCAGATTTGCTCTGCCTGGGAGGTTGTCGCCTATGGGAAAGAATGTCATTTGTATCAACATTTGATCATTCGCTCTTTACGGGCATTTCTCAGGAAGCTCTTTCTCCACCTGACCCAAACTTTAAGTTAGGTGGTGATCATGTTTGGATCTCCAAATTTACGGTGTAATTTATTTAATTCTAATATAGTAATAATACCTTATAATTGTATGGTTTCATTTTCAAACATCAAAGCATTTTCTAAATATTAATAGACATGAACAGCCCCAGGGGACTGATGCTACTGGATCCCTTTCTCTGATGGATAATGTATGATGGAGAGCTAGCTAACTTGGCAAGGGATGTACAGATTATTATTTTTTTCAAAAACATTTTTTATTATAGAATATTTTAAACACAGAAGTAAGGAGAATACTGTAATGAACATGGATGTACCTACCATTCAACCATGAATTCATGGCCAATCTTACCCACTTCTACTTTCCCATGTTATATTGCTGCAAATCTCAGGTATCATACATTTTCATTCATAAAAATTTCATCTCCGAAAGATAAGGACTCTGCAAAAAAAAACAAAACAAACAACCTATAACCATGATAACTGTATCACACCATGGACAGTAAAGAATAATTTCCTAATATCAAGTATTCAATCCATTTTGAATTTCCAGTTGTTCTATAAACTTCATGAACTTTAAAAATTTTTTGACTATTTTTAATTTTTTTTGGCTGCGCTGTGTGCCATGCGGGATCTTAGTTCTCTGACCAGGGATTGAACCCCTGCCCTCTCAGTGATCTTTATTTAAGGTTTGTCTCTTTTTTTTGTTTTATTAATCCAGTCAAATCTTTTTAATCGAGATGTAATTGATTTATAACATTATATTAGTTTCAGGTGTACAACTTAATGATTTGATATTTATATATATTGCAAAATGATCACCACAGTAAGTCTAGTTAACACCTATTGCCACACATGGTTATAAATATTTTTCTTGTGGTGAGATTATGTTTCTTTTAAATGTATAGGTTCATAGAGTTCCCACTGTCCGGACTTTTCTGATCACATGTTTATGTATCTTTTTTTTTTTTTTTTTTTTTTTTGTGGTACGCGGGCCTCTCACTGTTGCGGCCTCTCCCGTTGCGGAGCACAGGCTCCGGACGCGCAGGCTCAGCGGCCATGGCTCACGGGCCCTGCCGCTCCGCGGCATGTGGGATTCTCCTGGACTGGGGCATGAACTCGTGTCCTCTGCATCGGCAGGCGGACCTTCAACCACTGTGCCACCAGGGAAGCCCTGTTTATGTATCATTTAACATGTTCTTTTTTCTTCTCTTCTTCCTGTAAATTGGTAGTTGGACCTAGAGCCTACATTAGAATTGGGTTTGATTTTTTTTGACAAGTTTGTAGGTGGTGGTGTTTTCGTCCATCAAAAAGCAGATAATGTCTGGTTGTCTTTTTTTGTGATGCTAGCAGTTGTTGATGATTTATGTCTACATTAATTTATTAGGGATCACTTCATTCTTTATTAATGGGAATATATCAGGAGAAACTTCATCTACTATCAATGTAGGCCACGAAGAAACATCATGGATTCATCTTCCTTAAAGTTCTTTAAAAATGTATAGTATTAGGGCTTCCCTGGTGGCGCAGTGGTTTAGAGTCCGCCTGCCGATGCAGGGGACATGGGTTTGTGCCCCGGTCCAGGAGGATCCCGCGTGCCGCAGAGCGGCTGGGCCGGTGAGCCATGGCCGCTGAGCCTGTGCGTCCGGACCCTGTGATCCACAACGGGAGAGGCCACAACAGTGAGAGGCCCGCGTACCGCATGTATAGTATTAGAGAATAATGTTATTTACAATAGACAAGATGTGGAAGCAACCTAAATGTCCAGCTCGTTCAGATGCATCTTTCCATTCCACCGAGGAAAAGGGTAAGTTGGCAGCCAGTGCCGAGCAGGGGAGAAACAGAGAGGATCCCCCAAACACATGGTTTTGGCAGCTGCTAAGAACGTCCCCCCAGATCCCTCTCTCAGGGTCAGAGAGCCACAAGCAGTGAGCTCATTGCAACCATCTTGGCACATTATCATGGCCATGGCTCTACTCAGGGAAACCCTGGGGAGCCAGGTGTCGTGAGAGTGCAGCCCCACGTTGGGCACAAACAATGCTCGCTGCTCAAAAGCCAGTAAAGAGACAAGTTTGGTGGAAAGGAAAGTTTGCTTTATTTTGGATACCAGCAATGGGGTGGGGGAGGGTGGACTCCCGTCCAAAGGCCGAATCCCCCCTACTGACAATCAGGGGGCAAGAGCTTTTATTGATGGAGGGAAACAGCACAGTCAGCTCTGACAGTCATCTTCAAATTGGTCATGTGGTGGTCTGCTCAGCGTCATCTTGATTGTCTTAAGTACAGTTAGTCTTTAGTTCCAGGGTTGGTTTGTTCCCATTTCTTTGACACCAGTTCTCAGAATTGTGGCAGCTCATGTCATGGCTACAGTCTGGTCATCATGTAATTAACTTCTTCCATCTGGTGGGGGCTTCAGTGTCTACAAAACAGCTCAAAGGACATGGCTCAGAATATTATCTATAGCCCTCGAGGAGGAACTAAAGGTCCTTGACTTTGCTGAATGACTACACTATTATTATTTAGTCTTGTTGGACTGCTTTCTTTGCTTCTGCATTTTCTCACTTCTCTAATTAAACTAATTATTTGGCTAAAGTTTTTCCACAGACAAAAGGCACGTGGAGGACATGGAGGGGAAGGACCACAGGGTCCTGCTCCATTTCAGCTGCACCAATTTACATTCCCACCAACAGTGTACAAGGGTTCCCTTTTCTCCACAGCCTGTGCATGCTTTCCTGAAAGCCCCGAAATAGTATGGAAATTATCTGTGTTTCTCAACCCAACCAGTGTATGAATATTTTGAGAGAGCAAGAACCAAGCCTCATGCATCTATAGCCTTAGCCCATGGGGCAGCACTTTTGTAGAGTCAGTGCTTAATAAATGTGAGTTGAGTGAACGAACAAATGATGCTCTGCTCTTCTTTACGTTCTCCTTATTTAATCCCTGTAGATCATTTCCCTCCTTCCTCCCTTCCTTCTTTTTTGAAAAAAATAACCTACATCTCTTTATTTTTTTCCAGCTTTATTGAGATATAATAGGTAGATAGCATTGTGTACATTTAAGGTGTACAACCTGACGATTTGATATGCGTATATATTGTGAAATGATCACCACAATAAAGTTAGTTATCACCTCCATCATCTCACATAATTAATATTTTTTCGCCCCTGCAGATCATTGTTCTTCTTCTGCAGATAGGCTCATCATCACAGATGAAGGCGAGGAACTTGCCCTTTAAATAAACCTTCCAGAATTCGGTATGTCTGAATGAGCATCCTCTCTCTTGCAGCACCAGCATGGCACTCTCCATGCTTGTTCCAGAGGTGACTATGGCTGTGGCTGTCAGTATCAGAGGCATGTTCCTTACATATCCTCAGTGGTCATAACTCTGTGTCATTTCAGAGCAGATTTCATTTTTGAAAGCAGCTCCAAATAATTTGGAGTGAAGTCTGATAAAAGGTGAGTGACCCAACTTGAGAATGTCATTTTAGATTCAAAAGAAAGTCTTGGAGGCCTCGAATCAGAGGCAATTCCCAAGGAGAAATTCCAAATTCGTTGTCAGCAATGGCAATGTCAAGGGAATAAGCCTATAGGCTTTAGGGGAAAGAGGACTCATTTATATTTGTAAATTCTACTGTATGGGTTTGAAAATCTCTTCAATACAGAAACAAACCTTTCAGAGCTG